AGCAGAAGCTTATACGGGCCAGAGTAGAAAGTGAAGCGGGTCCTCCTCCTCCTCCACATCTTCTTCTTATTTAGCTTAGTGTTTACTACGTGAAGTCAGGCATTTCAAAAATGTGGATTCCGTAGATTTAAGTTCTTCCGAAAGCTTCCAATAATGTTCTTAAGCTGACATAGGTTGATACACAGGCATTACTGTTCATCAATTTATAATTTTTCCCATACCTGCTTGATATAAAGTTCAATGTTGGTGGCAGGTCCTTGTGAACTATGCCAGATCTTCAAAGGAGGCAGAAGAAGTTTCCAAAGAGGTGTGTGTTGCTTTCTTTAGTAATAATTTAGTTTAGTTTTTGGTATATATTAATATCCCTGATACTTCCATTCCCAACTGAAAATTTCATTTTAATTACTTGAAACATGAACTGTATCTCTAACTTCAGTCTGGTAGCCTTTTAATTTTATTTTATTCTATTTTTATAGATAGAGCTAGGTCTTCCTCTCTGATTCCAAGAACTGGTCAAACATGGAAAACTGATTCTGCTCTCTCATCTTTGTTAGAATTTTTCTGATAAGATAGGAGCTAGCTAATGACCTGATTGCTTGTACTGAAACCGTAAAAGCGAAAGGAATTTATCTTTGCTGGTAATACTCTTCCATGGAAGATTGATGGAGTTGTGGATATATATGATAATGGCTCGGTGAAGTTATACTACCTATATTTTATACTTGCACATTTCAAACAATTATGTTTTCTTTTCTTGGGTAATCCTCATCTATCAAGAAGTGTAAGTTTAGGTTCAAACTTTGTGTATGGTTTCACTAATCTTCATGTAAGTTCCATCCCAAAACGTCAGCAATCATAGGTTGCTTTAGTTTTATCTCCGTCTTGTAAAGGAGCGAAACCTGCTTTTATTCTACTCAGTCAAAGATAAAGAACGTTTTCTCATTGTCCTTACCGGTGCCAAAGAAAGATATCTCATAAGCTAGAAGGCTTGATAGAAGATGTCTGACACTCATTTGACAAACACTTCCATCCATTGTTTGATTGCTGTTAGATTTGAAGCTTCCGTTACTACTTCAATGAGCAGCCATTTATTCTTGGGTGTGGGAACTGGGAACAAGTTATAAGGTCATGCTGTAGGCTGTCTCTCACGTTCCTCGAAAAATGAAAAGATCTTTTCTGAGTGATTCAAGAATGTCATATTTTGTAGATTGAAGCATGTGGTGGCGAAGCCTTGGCTTTTGGAGGCGACGTTTCGAAAGAAGAAGATGTAGAGTCCATGATGAAAACTGTAAGCTCTCTCTTTTGTTAGTAATATTAGTTAATGGTGGATCTTATCACAGTTGTTGCCAGCTGAATTGCACCTCATAAGTATCACACCTGCAGGTGGTTGATCGATGGGGAACAGTTGATATCTTGATCAATAATGCAGGTTAGCTACCACCTTTATTTTGTGGGGACAATTCAAAAAGATCATTTAATTAATTTTGCACCAAGATAATACCAAGTTAACATTTGTGCTGTGGCATTAAGCATCCAAAAAAAATCTGTGCAACTTTCTAGTTAAGAGAGGAACATGTTTTTACCCCATATATACAAGTGAAACAATATTTTTTAATGCAGGTTAGCAACAGTCATCCTGTTTTGCATCAAGTTTTATTAGAATTCCCAATCAGTAGTTCTCTTTTTCTTCTTTTCAGGTATCACGCGTGATACCTTGTTGATGAGAATGAAGAAGTCTCAGTGGCAGGAGGTTATTGATTTGAATCTTACAGGAGTTTTTCTCTCCACACAGGTCTATATGCTAGCTGTGTTTCAATTGGTAGTTTGGTCGTCTCCCCCAATCCCTCCTCCCAAAACCTGTATGTATTTTATTAAGAGAAGGTTCTTACGAGGGATCTTTCTTCTTGTTGCAGGCTGCAGCTAAAATCATGATGAAAAAGAAAAAGGTAGATTTGTCCATCTACCTCTTGCACTTCAGAAATAATATTATTTGTCTGGTAAGGTTCAAGTTTTCGGAAACTGTTGCATAGAGGGAAGTGCATTTGTTTATTTACCGAAGAGATCCGCCGCAGGTAATGAGGGCCTTAGCTCTATGGACTCTACATCATTTATAAACAATGACTACACCACACTAGCCTTTTCCAAAACTTCATGTACGGCAGAAATATCACTAGAACAACCATGTGGGGCAGCGGTCATCCCTAGCCTTTGGGTAGAATAACCAAATTATATTTGCCGTTCCTGGTTTCTTGGACTCGCATGCTAGTCAAAGCAGAAATAAAAAAGGAATTGGAAACACAATGACAGGCTGGCAATGTGTGACACTTGCACTACATTGATTTCACAGGGCATGGGCAAAATACTTCTCTTATCTGGATTGAAGGAAAGTGGACAGAGAAGATAATGATACATTAGTTGAAGGGAGATAGCTGATAACCTTATTCCCACCTAGTGTTAAAAGATAACATAATGCTACAATAAGATTGTCATGTCAATTAGTTTCCTCTCTTGTTAGAAGCGTCAAAAGCTGAGTTGATTTCAGCTTCAGAATTTGGATGTTGTCGTGTTTGAAATTGGTTATGATGGAAGGGTTTTGATGTGACGCAGAATCTGTTTCCAGCTATTCCGTTTCATGGATTTCCGTTGCTGGTGTCATTTTCTCAGATTCTGTTACCTGCTTATTGCTGACAGTTACCTTTTCAATGAATTTGAATCAGTTATTCATACAAAACAAGAAACAAATTTACTGATCCTTGAGTATGTTAAAGTAGCCAGGTTGTGCCAGATGCCAACTAATAAGACTGTTGCCATCATGTTTATCTAGTGATATATTCTGATTCTTGAAAAAGAAATTTGATCACTACGATCAAAGCAATGCAATGCACTTTTATACTGTTCCTTATATACTCCAGAATTTTTATTTAGGCATGGTCTACACTTCGCAGGGAAGAATCATCAACATATCTTCTGTTGTTGGCTTAGTTGGCAATGCTGGGCAAGCCAACTATAGTGCTGCTAAAGCAGGAGTCATTGGCTTAACCAAGAGTGTTGCAAAAGAATATGCCAGCAGGAATATTACTGTAAGTGCTCCTAGTCATTCCGTTGTATCACTTGGCTTGTTTACATTAATGCTAGTTACGAAGGATTTGGTAAAGCATATTATTAAGGAACTTTTTCTGATGAGGACAAACTAATGAGTTGTCTCTCTTATTCTTTCCGTTGGTGATATAATGACTTCTTATGGCTCATTCTTAGGTTATTTATGCTGAATTTTACCTTTCGACAGGTTAATGCTATTGCCCCTGGATTTATTGCATCTGATATGACTGCCCAGCTAAGTGAAGACATTGAAAAGAAACTTTTGCAAAGTATTCCGTTAGGTAAGAGCAGCTGTCTTTTAAAGTGTTTGTGGCATTTATATCTCAACATAGTGACGAGTTCCCTGCACCTCTAAGACGAGGAAAAGGTCTACAACTTGACTTCTAAGATTAGGACTCCAAGTAGAATAAGACAACATCAGATGCAATAGTCAGGTTTCATTTGCATCAATAGAAAACTCTGACTCTATAAATACGAATAAAACTAAGTCTGAACTGAAAAACATCAACTGAGCTTGAAACTTGATAGAAGGTAGATTTCCCTTTCTTCAATGCATCCAACATTTCAAAGATTTTGTACTTGCTATTTATAAAAGATTTCATTTATTAAACTAGTAAAAGTAACTACTATTCAGTTTAAATTTTTAGGAAATATGGTTCATATCTTCATATCTATATCTTTCAAATTAAAGCACAATAGAGTTCCTGTAAACAACAACTATATTGACTAACTTTGGTTTCACATAATACAGGACGCTATGGTCAACCTGAAGATGTTGCTGGACTAGTGGAATTCCTGGCACTCAGTCCCGCTGCCAGCTATATTACTGGACAGGTACTTCCATGTTATGTAGTTTCATTTGCCATTCATCCGAAGCTTCTCTCTTGCTACCTCATGTTAAAACATCTATTTATTAAGAATATTTATCTCCTTTACAGGTTTTGACCATCGATGGTGGGATGGTTATGTAGAAGTTTACCCCATACTTAGTTTGCTCATGAAGAAGGATTGAAAGGGTGATCACTTATGTTATACCATGACTGTAGCCTCTCGCCTCGTCTAGTGCCCGCGGAAAAGGAATTTGTTAATTTGGTGGTAGAAGATGGCCTGTCTTGTCATTTTTCTGCATTTTCCCCTCTTTTTTTCCGTTTTCTTATCTGAGTAAGCATTTTTGAAACAGGGTTTGATCATTTTGTTGTAGTTCCTACGTTAAAGCAGAGTAAACACTATTTGATGTACTTCCTTTGGCCAAAGCATCTTCATGTGCTGCCATGAAAGATTGCTGCTCTTTGCTTTGCCCCTGAGAGCTGGAGATTGATAAATCAATGGCATAATTTAGCTCATGCTTAATTACAGTTGTAGTAGTAATTTATTTTAGCTCTAATTATGAATTGATCACCTTTTAATCCCCTTTTAGTTTTTTTTCTAAGTCCAACAGTACCCTCACTAACAAAAGCCCTGGACTAGAGAAAAAAATACAAAGATGGTCCCTTATGTTCGGGGTAGACTCAAAATACTTCCTAAAATTTGTCAAAAGTGAACATTTTTTTTTATCTCCATCAAATATTTTATAATTCTGCCGATTTAACTTTAAGGTAACTATGGAAAATAAATAAACACCAGAAAAGTGTCCTCCAATCCTAAAAAATTGAACACAAAAAACAGTATTAAATACTATAATGCACCAAACATAACATATATTGTACATTAAAAAAAAGTATTAGATTTTTAGAAATAGACTAGAAATATCAAAAAAAGAACTTTCAAATGTGAGTTCTCACTAAAATTCTTTTTTTTTCCTTCAGAATTTAAATATAACAAACAGAGAGTGACCAAAATGATTTAGAGTGTAGTTTAGGGACTATTTTGAACCTGACCCAAACATATGGACTATTTTTGTCATTATTCTCCCCTAAATTACCGTTCCTCTTTTTCCCTTCTTTATCCTCCATGGCCGTTTCCCCCACTCTGTACACCTTCTCTATTATCTTTTCTCTGTGATTTCAGCGGCCAACAGTAAGTTTTTCTTGCGATTTTAGTGGCATAAGTTCTCAGCTGCTCTATGTTTCTAAATACTTTTTCAATTTTTCCGTGCAATTTCATAAAGAGACGAGATACTAGTTAACAACTGGATTTATACTTCATCGGTGTTGTGAAAATTTCCTGTTGCTACAACATTTTTTTTTTCAAATTTGAGTTGTGAGATTTTAAATGGTTCCTTTTGTACTTTCATTCATGAGAAGAAGAAAAATGTGCAATTGATTGAAGGTCAAAGTTTTTTTTTTTTTTAAGATTGACATAGCAGTAGTTAGAAAAGAACTTTTATTAGGCAGAACGAATCCTGCAACTGGCTTTTAACTTTTATTAGCTCAGTAGAGTGTGTGTGTTTAATCTCCTAGTAATCCAAATCTTGATAGGTGAATGTGATGATAATTCGATATTGATGAAGCTCAGTTCTTTGAGGACCTTAATGTTTTTTTTCTGTAATGCAGCTGATCTTGATGGAAAGAATGTAATTGTTACAGGGTTAGATGGTGATTACTTGAGGTATTCCTTGATTAACTGATTATCCTATCAATGTTTCAGTTTCCGCTAGGACAATCACTGTCAGCTATTGCCCTTGGAACCATCAAGAAAGAAGTTTTTTATTTTTATTTTACGGTTCCCTCTTTATAGTTAAAATCAAATGCAAATGTGCTTGAAACATAAAGTTTGAAGTGGGATGGGATGGGATCTAGCAACTTCACCTCCTTGATATTTATTAATTCTTTTTTTTTCCATTAATCAAGCTGTGGCAGGTCACTCTTATGGTTTCCGTGGACTAGTGGTGATGAATACATAATTTCAGGGCAATTCTTTCCTTAAGCAGTCCTGATGAGTAAAGTTGGTTTTGTTTCTGATATCAACAATGAACTTCATATCGATTTTGCGAAAACAGAGGATCACTAGTGCAATTCATCAAACAATTGTTGTATCTTTGTCCAAACAAACTATTCATTCATGTCACATTTTTTGTTCGAAAATATCCGATGCAAATTTTACTTCAGAGAATTCAGAATCAGAAAAGGAAGAAAGGTTGGTAGATCAGGGAATGGTGGCAACAAGGAACAACTTAAGTCAAAGAATTGAAAGAGTACCCATAGGAGAGTCCATTGGATCCACTTTCCAAAGCTGGATGGGTGATGGTCTACCTATTCATAGAGGTGACATTTTCCACACTATGAATCGTTTGCGCAAACTCAAACTCAACAAGCGTGCTCTTGAGGTTCTTTTACTCTGTCCTTTCTTGCCAAATTTGAAAATGGGCATTTATCTATTATGAAGAATTCAACCTACTGAGAATATCACTAGGGTGCACTTTACATGTTTGTGTAAGATATCTAAGGGTAGTAGTAGTGAAGGAAGTCGGGGAAGAGGAAAACTTTGTCTTGATCTATTCTGTCATGTTTCAGGTAAAGCAGTTGCAGAGTGTTATATTCCATGTTAGTTATTCGGGCATTTTCAATATACGAATTTCCTCTATTCCTTCTCACAAAATATATACTGAATTTGCTCTATTATGTTGTTGAGCTCATTTTCAAGTCTTACCTATCATAATGCCTAATCAAGCATATGTAGTTGATATTGACAATCTTTAGGTTCTTAATCTAGCTGTATTCATTAGTGTTTCAGTGTTAGATTCAGTTATCATTGAAATAGATAGAATTTGGTACTCATTTAGAACTTCACTTGTGATATTAAGCAATATCTATGCTTTTCACAGGTGATGGAATGGGTTATAAGGGAGAGACCATACAGACCAAAGGAACTAGATTACTCATATTTAGTAGAATTCACTTCTAAGCTTCATGGGATATCACAAGCTGAAAGCCTATTCTCACGAATTCCGTCTGAGTTCCAAAATGAGTTGCTCTACAACAATCTTATACTCGGATGCTTGGACAGAGGACTGATAAGGCTTTCACTAGCATATATGAAGAAAATGAGAGAACTGGACCATCCCATATCTTATTTGGTGTTCAATCATCTCATCATTCTCCATTCCTCCCCAAGCCGCAAGAAGTTCATTCCTAAAATCTTGACGCAGATGAAAGCCGATAAGGTTACTCCACATGTTTCAACCTTCAATATTCTGCTCAAGATAGAAGCAAATCAACACAATATTGAAGGCCTATTGAAAGTTTTTGGTGACATGAAGAGAGCAAAAGTTGAACCGAATGAGGTATCTTACTGTATATTGGCCAATGCACATGCTGTGGCTAGATTGTATACAGTTTGTGAGACCTATATTGAAGCTATTGAGAAATCTGCAACTGGACAAAACTGGTCTACATTGGACATTCTGGTCATACTCTATGGATATCTGGGAAAGCGGAATGATTTAGAGAGGACATGGGGTGTCATTCTGGATCTTTCCCATGTTAGGTCTAAGAGTTATGTCCTGGCGATCGAAGCATTTGGTAGGATCGGAGATCTCTGTCGAGCTGAAGAGCTGTGGTCTGCAATGAAATCAAGGAATTCTTTGAAGTCAAATGAGCAGTTCAATTCGCTGATAGCTGTATATTGTAGACATGGACATATCACCAAAGCCACTGCATTGTATAAGGAGATGGAGAAAAGTGGGTGCAAGCCAAATGCCATTACTTATCGGCATCTTGCTCTTGGTTGCTTGAGAGCGGGGTTAATTAAGGAGGCCATCAAAACTCTTCAATTGGGGATGGATATGGAAACAAGCATAAAGGTGAAAAGATCAACTCCATGGTTGGAAACTACTCTTTCAATAATTGAAATATTTGCAGATAATGGTGATGTAGAGAATGCTGAAAAGTTGTTTGAAGAACTGAAGAAAGCGAATTATACTAGGTATACCTTTGTATACAATGCGTTAATCAAGGCGTATGTTAAGGGGAAGGTATATGATCCAAATCTTCTTAAAAGAATGATTCTTGGAGGGGCTAGGCCAGATTCTGAGTCCTATAGCCTTTTGAAAGTTATTGACCAATTTCGAACGTGATTATATTAGAATTATGTTGTGTGATTTTGCACTCCTACTTCAAATTACTCGGCTAAGAGTAGTCCTATTCTGCGGCTCTGCCAATTGCTGAAGATAGCTATACTTCAGTGTGCCCGTTCTTTTCGAGTCTTGGAGAGATGATGGCAGGTTAGACAAGTTACGCTATATAATGTAGATGTCTTGCTTTGCTAATTGGCATATACTTGTTCATTAAATCTGCTTGCCTTTCCCTTTAAATTCTGTTGTAAATGGTTAACTTCAGCATTGTAATATTTGAATGGTTCTTAGCAATTTGATATTGCTTTAGGGTTTCTTTTGAGAATATTGTTATAAAGATGTATGTTTGCGGTAAACATCGAACTCTTGTTGCTTCAAAACTAGATTTGCTTTTTTTTCTTAGTTTATAGTATGCTTATCTGGTCTGGATGCAGTTTGTGCTTCGTTGTTTTCATCTTTGCAAGAAATTCTAGGTTGAGATGATGCCTTTGTTTCTGGACTCTATACATAGTGTTGCATTATTTACATGTGTCGATCTCACTTTTGTCTTGAACTTCAATGTACTCTACATGTATGGAACTCAAAAAGGAAAAAAAAATGCTAGATCAGAAAAACAGTTTATCTATATGTATACAACATATATGCCTCTGCATATTTCATCTTATTTCATCACATTGTATGGTTTCTCTTTCAATTTTGGAAATGTTTTTGGAAGCTCTTACTCCGATGGTGGTTTGACTGATGGCATTACCATTGTGTATGAAATGTAATTGAAATAGAACGTGATTTGAACCTTAAATATTAGGTTGCTAGTTGCTACTAATTGATGAACTTGTATCAGCTATGTTGCACTTCCGGTACTTGCTCATTGAGTTGCTGCATAGATTTTAAGGTATGCGATGATTATCAAAAAACATGCTTCATATTGCTGAAGAAGGTAATGCAGCACATAGCAGAATCAGATCAAAGTTTTTAATTTTACATAATGTTGTTTGTAGTTTGGCCAATATAATGGGGAAAAGAAGAGAGCAGAATCAGGAATTGATGAACAAAGATTAGAAAAATCTGCAACAGAGTATCAGGAATTGATGAACAGAGAGGAGTTTTGTGAAGATTGCAGCTGAATGGGACAAGGACGAGGCTGAGGATGGACAATCGTTAGCAGATGCTAAGCACCAAAGACACAAATGCTTGACCAAAAACCAGTTATTTTATCAGCTACTATCCGAGCTTTTCCAGACCCACTTGTGGAATTACACTGAGTATATTGTTGTTGTACTATCCAAGCTTCCTCTTACACCAGATCCTCTTTCTTGGAATAAATATCACTTTTCTGATAGACTATTTTGTCACATATACTTTATAATAAGGTTAATTATGACAGCATGTCCTTTTTCATCTTGATGATGAATATTTCTCACCTTTCAACAACTATCCAAGAGATAGTCCGTGACTACTTTTATGTCCCTATGCACCGCACATTGTTCATATTCTTCGTGTAAATAATGCAACGCAGATTTGAAATTTTCAATCCTCATGCAGAGGTGGAGCTAGGTCGGGGTTTATGGGTTCGGACCCAGTAGTTTTTTCGTAGATCCTATATTTGTATTAAAAAATTAATTGAATATATATTACTATTAATTTGTGAACCCCTTAACAAAATTGATTGACGGTTCTAAAGGAAATTTAGAACCTCCAAACTCTTTATCCTGGTTCCGCCAATGTACTCACGCAATGCCTAGATTAAACTGACCTTCACCTAACCATGTGATTTGTATCTGCACAAAAAATTATATCTTATTTTAGATTGTAAAATTTCTAAGGGTAATGCTAAATGCTCAGAAAATTTAAAAAGTCTATAATATCTTTTTTATTTTAAAATAAATTGGTTTTTTTCCCATTTTCTTAGTTCAAAGGGTAAAAATGTTTAAAAAGATAAAATAACATAGGTAAAATATCATTCTGGCTAAATTTTCTGGCCAAAAGGATTTTTCCAATTTCAAAACTCTCTTTCTTTTTTATAGTTCATGTCTCGTCAAGATATATCAACACAAATTGAGACGTCTCCGAAGAACTACTTCAAAAATTGATAGGATCATTCAAAGCAGACTAAGTAGTCGAACAAATGAGAGATTGGGGGAATTCCACTCTCACCCTACTATTAGTAATAATCCAATTTAGAGTAAATAAGAAATTATATGATTTAATAATGAGTAAATTTTAGGCTTAACAAACATAAAAATTATATTTGTATGCTATAGCTATAGTTTGTATAATTGCGTTCTATGACTATTAATCTGTATATTTCGGTATATATATACAATGTATTTGTATATTTCGGTATATATATACACTATATTTGTATATTTCGATATACTTATTCATAAAAACCTGTCATGTCTTGATCTGTATATTTCGGTAATCTGTATGTTGATTTGTATACAAACTAAACAATAGTAATTGTATATAAACAAAATTACTACATATATACATAAAGAGATTATACAAGCATATCTTGTTATGTATAACTATTAAAAATATACAAACAATAAATTGAATTTGTATAAACAAACTAAAAAATAGTAATTGTATACCGAATGGGTAATTTATACAAACAACAAATTGAATTTGTATAAACAAACTAAAAAATAGTAATTGTATACCGAATGAGTTTGTATATCGAAATGGGGTAATTGTATATCGAACCAGATGACAAAAAAAAAGGAATGTTTTTGTGAATTACAAATAAAATAAACTATGGATATAACATTTAATTTGAATTAATAATTTGTTATTTCATACAATTTTTCCTTAGTAAATATACATAATCCTATAAATTTAATTTTTATTCCCAAAAATAAAAATTGACTTGTGCACAGGTGGCATTGCATAGGATGGGGTCTCAAGTATATCTACACGAAATTATTGAAGTGTGAAATTCATTTCTAACTGATTAAAGCGTGAAATTCATTCATAACTAACCACTTTCATAATGAACCCTAGCTGCTACTCCTATTAATGGCAAAATTCCTTCTCTGGAAAAACAAGAAAGTATCCACATTTATTTCAACACTTCTCATAAAGAGAAATTGAAATTAATTTTGCATTTCCCCAATTTCATCACCAATTGCAGAAGCTTTTTATTGCGCAGTATTCGAGGTAAGGTCCTGTTGTAACATTAGTAGCTATCGACTGGTTTTTGTTCCTTCTTAATGATATCCTTGGTGTTCGGGTCTCCATTAATTTCACGGAATACTTATCAGCAACTAACATCAGGTAGCTTTGTTAATCAAAACTAGAACATATGTTTTGTTTTTGCTGGAATTTGAACCTGAAACGTTAAGACAGATGAAAAGAAATTACCTACTATTTTTTGAACCTGAAACGTTAGGACATATGAAAAGAAATTATCTATTATTTTTGTTTAGGTGGGAATTTGAACATGAAACGTTAGGACATATGAAAAGAAATTACATATTATTTTTGTTTCTGCAGGAATTTGAACCTGAAACGTTAGGGTTCTAAACCTACTTTACTGACCACTAGGTCACGTCCTTTGGTTGGGGTGTGGGCATTGGAGTTGGTAGAGGAAGACGTAGGTAAAAAGGAATAAAGATCGTGATAATTTGATTCTTTATTGTTGTAATGAATAGAAAAGAAAATGGAAATTTAATTTGTTGTTTTTACTTGAGGTATCTCAAGAGAACTATAGGATAAAGGTTTGTTCTTTAAATGAAAAGATTCAATTTTTTTATCAGTAAATTGGAAAATGATTAGGAATTTAAGATTGACTTTAAATGTGATTTACAAATTAAAATAGTTTTTGTTAGTATTTGAACTTTGCTTCATTGTATGCAGAGGCAATTGACTTACAAAATCATGAGTTACTTCCGGGCATTCTTGAACAGTCCTGTTGGTCCTAAAACAACTCACTTTTGGGGTCCTATGGCCAACTGGGGATTTGTCATTTCTGTATGTTCCTAACCCCTGCTGATCGTTTTCGTTAATTTATCGCTGTTTTTTTTAATCTAATACTGAAGTCTCTGAAATTTACTTGAATTGATGTGTTAGGGAGTGATGGATTCACAGAAGCCCCCTGATGCAATATCTGGCAACATGACTTCAGGTGAAATAGTTGTAGTCTTTACATTTTTAGTCCAAACTACTCGAACAATGGTTGATGTATCCTTTTTGAATGCAAAAGAAAATGTCTCTAGCAGAAACAATGGTGGATCCAGTATAAGCTGTGAGTTTGGCCAAAACTCTGCTTTGGACTCGAACCTCATGTATATATGTGGAAAAAAAGAAAAATGCCTCTCGTAGAAACAATGGTGGATCCAATATAAGCCGTGGTTTGGCCAAACCTATGGCTTCAGACTAGAGCCTCATGTAAATATGTGGAAAAAAAGTGTAGATAGGATTGGATATATATTTCAGAACCTGCATTTTTAACTTTGCTAGAACTTTCAGCATTTAAATTTTGGATCTGCTGCTGCTCAAAACATAAGTTTCTGGTACATCAACACCTTCTGGTGTGCTTTGCTTTTGATCCTGCATAAATGATTGTCTCAGTTTCAGACCATTTATTGAATTTTCTTGCTTTTGTTTCTTTGGCTGCAGTGCTATGTGTGTATTCACTATTGTGTATGAGATTTGCATGGATGGTACGTCCTCGCAATTATCTTCTTCTGGCTTGCCATGCTTCAAATGAGTCAGTGCAGCTCTATCAACTCTCACGTTGGCTAAAGCATCAGCGGTATGTGTCTCAGTTCACGAGTGCATAATAATCCATACTAACATTAAACAGAAACAACAATATTTGAACAATTCAGTTGTAGTTACTAGCAAGTTCTGCTACCAGATTAAGCGTTTAACCAAAGTTATGAGCGCCTTTTATGTAGATCCGTCTGGATCAACTTTCCCTTCCCTTTATTAATCTGATCTTCATGCTGTGTTTTCCTTTAGGTACTTGTCTCAAAAGGAAGAGAACGTTTCTTCATGACATAAAGTTCCGTTCTTCTCATCATCCATCAATTCGACAATCAAAAAAGAAATTGTATCATACTGCAAAAGAGTTGGTTATCTGTGTGGCATCGATTGTACAACAGTGTCAAATGGATGGAATGACGCAAAACGCTGACAGACGATAGCTCTGATGTCTCCTATCGATCTGATAATGGAGCACCAGGATATTAACAATTCAACTATGATTAGCTTGAGTTAAACATTTATGTTACAATTTGCTACTATTATTGTTCAATGACACATGCTCCTTATCGTCTTGCTTTCTGGATCTCGTATGCTTCTGTTTAGTTTTGCAGTAAAAATTGATCGTTGTAACACCTTGATGGAGCTTTTTTTGTTCCTGTATTCATCAAAAGCTACATAAAAGATCATCAATCGAAGTGATGTTCAAGTGGTGAAAATTTAGTTTAAAAAATTATTATTCTCGAGTAGAAAGTCTTTTCCTGACCACTTTTACAAAGAGAGAATAAATATTCAGAAGCCTAGCAACGATTACAGGGAACCTATATCCTGCCCTTTATTTTTATTGATAAAGGAGGTAAATTCGCAAGGTAAAAAAGCAGAAGTCAAACTATTAGGTAAGACTGGTACATAGATTTTTGTGGTCCGGCCTTTCTCTATACCCGCGCATAGCAGAACCTTAGTGTATCGAGTTTTTTTTTTTAAAAAAAATCTATCAAGTAGCAAATGGCCAATACACATTCATCCCAGAAAAGGAGGCTGAGTCCGGAGTGTATGGAATTTGTTAATGTTGAAACTTACAGCTTGTTTGGATGGTATTATTATCTAATAATCCTATTTTATCTTTTTCTCTATTTTTTATAATAATATTTTTTACCTCATACCCTACTTATTTTTGTAGCCTTTGAATTATTGACGTCACACATCATCTAATAACGAAAAATGATACAATCTATTTATTCAAGTGATATATTCATCAAAATATAAAATACAATGTAATACAACACATTATGAAATGATATACAACTATTCAAATGAGGTGTTAAGGTCATAGTTGTTCCTCTCCAAACCCTAAAACTTGCTCCTCCAAACCGTCATACGTCAATTCATATTTGAGGAAGTTTTGATAATTTCCACAAAATTTATGAAAAAACTTTTGAAGTTATAAATTTTGCTTGAAGTTTAGCATATTACTTGTGCAAATAAATTTCTGTAATACGCGTCAATAGATTATCTTATCAAGAACAAATTATAAATATCCATATTTGAAGTTTATATCTGAATTTAGATATATATGTTTGAAATTAAGAGTAGTTTTTTGAAGTTTGAACTATGCACCAATCTTCATCCTTGCCAACATTTGCACATTTTTTCAATAATACATAATTGATTTAAATTCACTTTTCGTAGTCAAAATTCAGGATCCACTTCTTCAATCTTGCAATAATAATTTTTAAGTGATCAATTAATTTTCTCTATGAAATCTTATAGAGATATATATTGGAATTATTTCTTATATGATTCTGAATCTCTGAGAGACTTGGAGTCACGCATTAAATGGGCTTTATCTCATGAAATTTTTAGAAAACAGCCCAACGCAGAGTCAAGGGCCCAAATACTTCAAAAAGGCCCAGTAAAAATGAACACAGCCCAATTAATTTTCCAACACTGTTATAACCAGAATATATTTCAATATAACACGAAAACCCTAGCACCCAAGCAGACACCTTCTATCAGCAGCTGCAGGGGAACAGCAGCATCACCGGCAGCCATGGTTAGTTAGTGTGTTAAACCGTCCAATTCTCCGATTGAGTTCTGTGTTAATCCTTTTTGTTTTTTTTTGTAGGTGAAGTATTCGAATGAACCAGAGAACCCAACCAAATGTGAGTACTCAATACGATGCATACATTTTCTGTTTGTAGCATTATTTAAGAGTGTTTATATGTGTTGGTTTTTATTTGATTGTTTAATGCTCTTGTATCAGCTTGCAAAGCTAGGGGTTCGGATCTCAGAGCTCATTTCAAGGTGTGTGATATATATTTTTATGTTATATTTTGATTTTATGTGATTTTTTTGCTTTGCAAGTTATTAGCGTCTGCTATATTTATTTTTGTTGTTGCGTTGTGTGGTTCAATATTGCGATTGCATATCGAGCTTAACTTGTGTTTTCAGCAAGTTTTTTTTTTTTGTAATTATATTCAAGTAGAATGACTTGCCTTGTTGAAGTAAATGTATCCATCAATTAAGTAATAGGTAAACATTTTTTGACAGTTCTGTTATGCTATGTTAAATGTGTGTTAAGCTGATGATTTCAGCTAAACTACATATGATAAGCATATGGTGGCTCTGTTTGTTGGCAAATGACACTGTGTCGTTTCTGTTTGGGATTAGTGCATGACAGAAGAGGGTGGTACCATGCAATTTGAATGATGGTAATAGATGTATTGGAAGCATGTATCCAAGTTTGTTCACAAAGTAATAGGGTAGATGCACTTTTTTGTCTTCTGTTCTTGTGTTTGTCACTGTTCAGTGGCTCTGATTATTTATCACTACCATTGTATAATATTCTTGCAAAAATAGCAAGGAGTTCACCATCTCAATCAATCTCTGATAGCACAAAACTCTGCCTTGACTACTTTTATTCAGAATATTGATTCTTCTGTTGACAATTGGTTCTCTAGGATCAATATTCTTTCTTCTGTACACTTCTGAATCAGTTGGAATGAAATATAACAGTTCTGTATCAGTTGGAGTGATATTTAACAGTTCTGTAATTTTTGATGGTCATTCTGATCTTTGCATGTCTTCCTTACTCTAATGTGTACTTATTATCTATCTCTAGAATACTAGAGAAACAGCACATGCCCTTAGGAAGATGCCTTTGAACAAGGCAAAGAGCTACTTGGAGGATGTTCTTGCCCACAAACAAGCCATCCCCTTCACCCGCTTTTGTCGTGGGGTTGGTCGCACTGCTCAGGCAAAGAATCGCCACTCAAATGGACAAGGACGTTGGCCTGTCAAATCTGTGAAGTTTATTCTGGATTTGCTCAAAAATGCTGAGAGTAATGCTGAAGTATGTCCTAATTTGTAGGATTATATTATTTCGCTCGGTCCTTTGCTTTCATCTTTTCCCTAAAGATGTTGCTTTCACCTCAATTTAGGTTAAAGGTTTGGATGTGGATTCACTTTACATTACTCACATCCAAGTAAACCAAGCACAGAAACAGAGACGCCGTACATACCGTGCTCATGGAAGAATCAATCGTGAGTGCTCCTCTTATTTCCTCGATGGTTCTTAGTGTAGTTGAGGATATGCATTACGATTTTAACTTCTTGACCTTTCTGCAGCTTATATGTCACATCCTTGCCATATCGAGCTGGTATTGTCTGAAAAGGAAGAATCTGTTAAGAAAGAGGTATAGTTTCTATCTGTCTCCTCGTTCTTCCTCATAGTTGATTCTCATAACTTGAGTACATGGTGCCTACTTTATAACAGTTGCCTTTGCTGTTCATCAGTCATCTTTAGATCTTTTTGTTTCTGCCATTATGTTGTCTCAAGTATATTCTTTTGTAATTATCCTAAATATTTTTTTATTCATGCAGCCTGAGACTCAGTTGGCTCCAAGGAAGACAAAGGCATCTTCTTGAGGGGAGAAAGGAATCCCTAAATTTTTGAAAGTGTAATTTCAATATTCCTGTAGCCTTGGTGTCGGAAGAATTTAGTGCTATTTCAAACATTTCTTCATAGAATTTAGTATTTTTGTGTAATTTTACTATTTCGGTGCTTAAATTGGGTTGTGCTTTTTGAGCATGTTTACGAGGAAATTTTGGATTTCTATGGTCTTGCTTTTTCTAAGAATGAATTGGGATTTTAGTAGTATTCTGATTCTCTCAGTGGGGAACGCACAAAATTTTAACTGTTGATGATGAATTGCTCTAGTTATCATCTATGATGTTAAAATTAGTGGCTTGAAATATGTGGAGATTCTGATCTGATTGCTCTTTTAGAGGATCACTTCCAAGGCTTCTTATAAATAATCCACAGTGATCTCGTCCTATGTTCCTTATCCAACATCTTCGAAAAATTTGAGAAAACCTGGTTTCAGGATTAATTTGAGTTTCACCTGAAGGGTAGAGGTTGTGGCAGATGTTGTAGTGGCGATAGATTATCTTGGGGTTCCCAAAAAAAAGGGATTAATATGAGAATTAATCTATTGGAGAGCCATTCAAATTACTGTATTTTACTGCATCACTGTGTGACTTTGAAGTGATCATTGTAATGTTTAGGTACGATCCAGCACGAAATGTAGTGATAAGCATGTTCTCTAATCTTAAATTTAAGACAAAAGCTTCAATTCTAACTTCAGTACTTGTGGGAGTTTCATGTAACTAAATTAATTTTGAGAAAGTTAGATATTAGCTAAAGAATAGAGAATTAGCTAAAGATGATTTGACTGTTTTAAGAAGATATTAGGGAAAAGGGTCAAAAATACCCCTCAACTTTAGTTTATTAGTTGACTATACCCCTGCCGTTAAAACAAAGTTATTTATATCCTTGTCGTTACTAATTTCACCATTTATACCCCTCAATTGATGGAAATCCCCAAACTAACTCAAATTAACCAATTTTTACTTAAATTGCCCAATTTTAACCCGACCCGACCCACCCAATAATATAACCCATTTTTGTTCTATCTTCATTCTTGTTCATCTTCATCTTCATCTTTAAACTTGTGGATTCCGTAGCTTTAAGTTCTTTCGAAAAATTCCAATAATGTTCTTAAGCTGACATAGGTTGATACATAGGCATTACTATTCATCAATTTATAATTTTTCCCATACCTGCTCGATATAAAGTTCAATGTTGGTGGCTGGTTCCTTGTGAACTATGCGAGGCATAAGAAGATTCCAAAGAGGTATGTGTTCCTTTTTTTTAGTACTAATAATTTAGTATAGTTTTTGGTATATATTAATATCCCTGATACAACCATTCTCAACTGAAAATTTCATTTTAATTACTTGAAACATGAACTGTATCTCTAACTTCAGTCTGGTGGCCTTTTTATTTTATTTTATTTTGATCGATAGAGCTAGGTCTTCCTCTCTGATTCCAAGAACTGGTCAAACATGGAAAACTGACTCTGCTCTCTGCTCTCTCATCCAGACCCACATCGCTAACAGTGTCCAGCCATCACCGTGAAATCCTAACTCCGGTAGACCGGAGGAAATCAACAACGACGAATTAGAGCTCCAAGCTCCAGTAATTTCGACAATTTTTTAGATCTGACTGAAAAATAATGCTCCGATTATCTGTATTTAATCATTGTTGTGTTCTTGTGTTTTTGGGTTCATAGCCATTATTACATTATTTTCGATATTGTTGGGCTGTGTTGGATGATTTTATTGTTTTTGAAAAGGAACAC